GGAGCTCGTTCCAGATGGTAGGTGCTGCCACAGAGAAGGCTCTCCCCCTGGGGGCCGCCAGTCGACACTGTTTGGCCGATGGCACCCTGAGAAGCCCCTCTCTATGGGAGCGTACTGATCGGTGAGAGGCTATTGGTAGCAGAAAGCGGTGTCGTAAATACCCCGGTCCGATGCCATGGAGTGCTCTAAACATGGTAACGAAAACCTTGAAGCGCAGCCGGAAGACCACCGGGAGCCAATGCAGCTCGCGCAGGAGGGGGGTCACATGGGAGCGCCATGTCGCTCCCATAACCACCCGCACGGCCACGTTCTGGACCAGCTGGAGGCTCTGGGTGCTCCTCAAGGGGAGCCCCATGTAGAGAGCATTGCAGTAGTTCAGGCGGGAAGTAACAAGAGCATGAGTGACCGTATTTAATGAGTCCCGATCCAGAAAGGGACACAACTGGCGTATCAGGCGAACCTGATAAGAGGTCCCCCTGGCCACGGCCGTCATGTGCTCTTCCAAAGACAGCCATGAGTCCAGGAGGACACCCAAGTTGTGAACCCTCTCTGTGGGGGCCAATGACTCGCCCCCAATAGTCAGTGATGGCACCAACTGACTATATCGGGATGTCGGAAACCACAGCCACTCGGTCTTGGATGGGTTGAGCCTGAGTCTGTTCCTCCCCATCCAGATCCACATGGCCTTCAGGCACCGGGACATCACTTCAAGGGCATCGTTGGGGTGGTCCGGGGTGGAAATGTACAGCTGAGTGTCGTCAGCGTACTGATGATACTTCACCCCGAAACTATGGATGATCTCACCCAGCGGCTTCACATAAATGTTGAACAGAAGGGGTGAGAGGACCGACCCTTGTGGCACCCCACATACAAGGGGCCTCGGGGTTGACCTCTGCCCCCCCTGTCAACACGGACTGCGACCAGTCAGAGAGAAAGGAGGAGAACCACCGTAAGACGGTGTCCCCCACCCCTAACTCCTCTAGCTGGTGCAGCATGATACCATGGTCGATGGTATCAAAAGCCGCTGAGAGGTCTAATAGGACTAGGAGAGAGGAACAACCCCTGTCCCGAGCCCTCCAGAGATCATCAACCAATGCGACCAATGCCTTTTCCGTGCTGTACCCAGGCCTGAAGCCCGACTGGAATGGATCCAGATACGATGATTCATCCAGGTACTGAGGGAGCTGTCGCGCTACCACACTCTCAACAACCTTCGCAACGAAGCGAAGGCTGGAGACTGGATGATAATTTGCCAACACTGCTGGGTCCAGGGAAGGCTTCTTGAGGAGAGGCCTCACCACCGCCTCTTTCAAGGCGGCGGGGAAGACACCCTCACTCAGAGAAGCATTTATAATCCCCTGGAGCCAACCTCGTGTAACTTCCTGAGAGGCCAGCACCAACCAGGAGGGACACGGGTCCAGTAAACATGTGGCTGCGCTCAGTCTGCCCAGTATCCTGTCCACATCTTCGGGCGTCACAGAATCAAACTCTTCCCAGATAATACTCACAAGACCTGCCTCTGTCCTCCCCTCTGAATCTACCCAGTCAGAGTCCAGGTGTTCCCGAATCTGAGCGATTTTGTCATGCAGATACTGTACAAAATCCTCGGCTCTAATCTCCAAGGGGTCCTCCCGCGCTTCCTGGTGGAGCAGGGAGTGGGTCACCCTAAACAGGGCAGCCGGGCGATTATCTGATGACGCAATAAGAGCGGCAAAATAGTTATACTTCGCCACTTTTATCGCCACCAGGTAGGTCTTAATATGAGACCTTACCAGTGTTCGGTCAGATTCAGAATGGCTGGCCCTCCAACCGCTCTCCAGGCATCTTTTCCGGCGCTTCATCTCCCTCAGCTCCTCGGTAAACCAAGGAGCCAGGTGAGATCGGCGCCGGGTCAGAGGTCGCAAAGGCATGACCCGATCCAAAGCTCCAGCGGCCGCCCTATCCCAAGCGGCCACCAGCTCCTCAGTCGAGCCGTGTGCCAGAGCCTCAGCAAATGGCTCAAGCTCCGTCTGGAACCTATCTGGAACCTATCTGAACCTATCTATATATAACCTATCTACCTACCTATATTTTAGCCATCCACATGTTATTTTAAATGTAAAATAGTTATTTCTAAGCTCAGAAATAAAATATTAAAATAATTACACATATTATTCTCAATTTGATTTAAAATTGTAAAAGTAGTTTTCCAGAAAATGGCTGAACACTGGGATGATTTTTTTCTCCTGCCAACAAACGGTTGACTTTGCTGCCAAAGCTAGTCCTTTGGCAGTGGGCTCCCCAGATTTGAATGGGAGAACTAGGAATGACACAAGATGATCCTCAAATGACCGTGTACTAGCCAGGGAAGAGAAATCTAGATGAATCCAGTTCTTGGTAAGAGCGGTTAGAGGATTATCTTTTCCTGTCACTGTTTTTTTTTTTTTAGGTGCACCTTGGTTTTAAACATCAGCTTTTGAACCTTTTTTTTTTTTGCTTTTAATTTACATGTTTAATTCATTGTCTAGTTGAATGCTGATTTATTTTATACCCCTTTGCTAGACATAAAATGTAAATTTTACCTTTTTTTTTTTACCGCTTTGCTTTGGAGTTATGAAACACTTTTGCTTTTATCACATGGACAGCAGTGGTGCAAAGACTTTCTCCTTAGTAATGAAAGTGATTTGATTTACATTTGCAACAGATTTTTACTGCAAGGATTTTGTATTTTACTAACTTTTAAAAGAACTTTGCCATTTTATTTTTCTTTTATTTATATATATCTCTGGTCTTTTTTCTTGTTTTTCTAAAGAGGTTGGAATTTTCCCTTTCTTTTCTGTTGACTCTCTATCATGGGAAATATTATTGTAATTTTTCCTGTGGTCATTCTGTTATGGAACATGTATTTCTTTTATCCTTGAGAGGACTTGGCTATGTTTTGTTGTGAAAGTTTGGTTATAAAACAAATTTGGATTATATTAAAAATGAAAATAACAATAAATTAAAGATATTGAACATTATATATTATATGCTCTTTACAATGACAGGGAAACAAAAAGAGACATAAAAGAAAGGCTAGAGCCATATCAATTTAATGTCAAAGCCTCTGAAAACAAAATGCTTTTCAAATTATAAAGTCTGAATGAAAATTTTGATAAAAGATTTGATGATTTAACAACAGTTATAAATCAACCCAAGGATGACACTTGGATAACAGCAGCTAAATCATACTTAAAATTGGGTGGATTGGAAGTCAATTTGTTGCTGATTGAATTGAGGGAGAAAGAGATTTGTTTGAGAACTGCAGGCTTGTTGGAGAAGGCTGAAAGAAGCATGAATTTAAAAAGCTTATTGCATATTGTTTTGTGAAATACAATAATAGACTGTTAACAGAGGGCTTTCAAGTTTATTTTTGTGGTTGGGTTTACCTGTTAAATGTTTTTTTAAAGAGTAGATAGATGGTCAAATCAGCTGGGGAAATAATGATGTAGAAGATTATAAATTGTAGAGCTGTTTTGCAAGGGGGAAACTATTATTGTAGAAATATATTTATTAGTGTTGGGGAGCACTTTATGTTTATATTTGTCTCTTTATGCATATTTTTGTCTTATTTAGTTTTGTTTTGCTTTGTTTTTGTTTCCCTTTTTTCTGTTGAAGTTTGCATTTTAACTTTGGAAATAACATTTATTAAAATTGTACATGTATAGGCATCAGTGGTGGGCAAACCGGTAGCGGCGGTGGTGGGAGGCTCCTCCACCCACCTGGACGTCATCACAGATGCTCTGTGCATGCATAGAAGGACTTCGCATGAGCGAAGCGAGCGCATGCGCGTGCACTCATACCTCCGAACCAGTAGCCAAGGTAAGTGAAAACCACTACTGACAGGCATCTATAGTGGGCACAGGGGGGTAAGTGACAAAACATGTGGCAAATTCCATGATTTACATACTTGGATCTGATGTCATGATGCATTTACACAAGAGTGGGTCTTGCACAGTAATGAAGTATATTTAATATTTTTTTTATTTTCACAGTTAGTAGTGGTCACTACATTTAAATGGAAGGATTTATCATATTGAAAAAGTTATATCAAAATGTTGAGGAAAATAAATTTTTATTTATTTATATTACATTATTTAAGTAATATGCATTATAGTTCTGGGAGAAAAATATATCCCTTACAGTCCAGATGAAATTTATATTTTTACAACTTCAAATGCAGTTTTATTTATTAGCTGAATTATTAGTGCTCTAGTTCCAATGTTATAATTTTTGCAATTTCTTGAGTCTACAACTGCAACTGAAAGACTTACAGTAGGTTCTCAAAGAAGAAATCTAATAATACCTCCAACTTTTTATCCCACCCAGCCTTCCTTGTGGCAGAAATGTCACCATTAGGGAAGTCAAAGAAGAGATATAACAGGATTCTTCTGCAACTGGTGCCTAAACCATTCTCCTTCCCTCCTATATCCCTCCCCAGCTCTCTGATGTTTCTTAGACTCAGCAGATATTTATTTAGCCTGCACAAAACCCTAATGTATTACTTTTATGAAGCATCAATTTGATAGGGCTCAGTAAAATGGTCTCCCCTTTCTAGGTATTGCATTGGGGCACAGAAGCCACTTCTATAAAGTGAAGCAGCTGAACAAAGTTATTGGAATCAGTGTGGTTCCGTGAACTGAAGCAGCAAAGCTCTGCCAGTGATAACTCTATTGCTGGACTGAACTTAGAACAGATACCTTCCCTTTTGTTGTAATGAAAAGGAACAAAACCAAAGCTAAACAAAAAGCCAGGATGAAGATAGAGCATCACAATTATTTCTTTGTGTTTATATATTCCCTGCTATTGTAGGCAGAAATAGTCAGAATTGCAAAGATCCAAATGTAGCTTTCTGCCACCTGAGCACTCTTCAAATATGTCAGCACAAATGGAGGCTCCAGTTCTGAAGATAGCTTGAATAATATATTTCAGGATTAACTCTAAAAAATACAAGCTGACATAACAAATATGTGTATACTTACAGAGACTGGAGAGAGTGTACGTTCTGAAGTGCTTCAGAAGGAACTTGTCTTAACAGGTTGTTCTGAAGCATTCTATATTAGTACATAAAATTGGTAAACAAAAAAAGATACTTAAGTTTGTTGTCTTATGCTAATTAGAACTACAAATATAAATTAAATTAGTAATTCCACAGAAAGCTCTTGCTAATTACTGCTATCCAAAACCTGAATTTTAGCTACAATAACTGTTTTGCTATTGTAATATAAACTTTATTCAAGGGTTAGAATATTAGAAACCTAGATTTTAAGTTTCCACTGTCATGAAACTGTTTTTAAAAACTGCATCTGTTTTATCCCACAATTTAACCTATCCTACAAAGCTGTAAGACAGTGGCTCCTAACATTTTGGCCACCAGGGATCGGTTCCTTGGAGAGAGGTTTTCCGTGGACCAGAGGAGGCATGATTTTGTGTGCTGCCTGCATCCAGTGGATGGGGCTTTGCTTGCTAGAGTGGACCAGTTTCTGGCATGCTGCGGACCAGTGCCGGTCCACGGACAGGGGCTGGGGATCCTTATTGTAAGAGAGTTAAATTAGGTAGCTTTCCATTAGCTGGGTACAACAAGACTGTAATTACTGAGGAACCTGACTTGATGAATATTACCAAGAGCTGGATTGATTAGCTGCATATTTGACCCAGCTTTTGCTAATCTGGTTTCTCAATATAGAATTTACCTAGGCTCTAGAGTTGATGGTCAAATGAAGTGATCCATAAAAATATTATCTTGCTGACCAGGAAAACTTGAGGCAGGCTACAATGGCATTTTGCCCAGCTAGAAAACAGAACCTAGGTTTTTTTTTTAATCAATTTTTTATTTTACTCAAAAGATTACAATAAAAAATCCAAAAGAAAAAAATTAAAAACTAGACAAAAGCATTGCATCTTTATTGTTACCTAGCAAGAAAATTGAATATTGGTCCCTTCAAAGATCTGCTATGATAGATTTGTGAGATACATCTGAATTCTGCATTTGATATAGCATTTACCAAATATCAAATTCATTATCTAATGCAATTTGTGGGATAATCTTTAGTAAAGCAAGATGCTTGTAATTGTTAGGTCTACATGATTTTTCTTTTCTTTTGTATTAGTTTAGGTTCGTAAACTAAATTATGACAATCCTAGGAAAGTGAAAAAATATTCTATAGCTTTAAGCAAAAACAACAATATTTTTTCCAGATTGAGTGCATTTACTATATAAAGAGAAAAAAGATACAATCTCTAAATATTAATAGTTATTATGTTTATAGTAATTAATTTGTTCATTTTCTATTTTTCCCATTAAAAATGAAACTAGAAATAAAAATCAATATTTTCATCAGCAGAATTATCAATAGAATATTCTTTGGAAACTAAAACATATCCTTTGTTAGAAGCTAAAGATGCAAGCATTTATATACAATCAGATTTCCTCTGATATTGTGCAAAGATGCTAATGTCATGAGTAAATTGGTTTTGGAAAATTCTTTAAGAAAGTGAAGATATATTTTGTTATAGGTTTAGGGTTGTAGCTGTATCAAAATAAATATTTTAGCTTTAAATACAGTGTGCTTTAATTAGCATAAATCCCCAGATTTTAATACATCACCTAAAATGTATAAAACAATACTATAATTTACTTACAATATTTTAAGTCTAAAGAGTCCAGCAAATGCTCCTCTGGGGATATATGTCAAGCTATTTCCTGCCAGACGCCTACAGGGTTAAAAGATAAAGGATAAACAGATTTCATCTCATGTGGAATTAATTTGGATGTTAAAATGTTCAAGACAGCAGTGTTGGAACAACCAAAGAGCCAGAAGTAGTTGTTTAAGAGCTCTGTTTTGTCATAATTAATGTTCTGTGCAAAACATCCTGTAACTATACAGTCCATTTACAAGCAGCTGGGCAAATGTAGTTTGCCTCAATAAATCTAGTTTATGTTACATGTGTAATTGTTCAATCTGCTCTGCTTCAGTAGCAAATAATTCAACATTCTAGGCTGTGGATGGTCCAATAGTTGTATATCATTATGATAACTTTATAGTTCTTCCACAAGACACAAACATAGTCAGAGGAAGCACTTTTTCTGAAGTAGAAACTTCATCAGCTTTGAATTTACATAAGCAAATGAGCTCCAATCAATATATAAACACCTCCTATCTAACAGGCAGAAAGAGATAAAATTAAAAATAATCTGTTTTTAAAACTTCACAATCAATCTTGTGTTGTCTTTTTTATATAAACAACACTGCTTTGGATTTGGATTACCATTCATTTTACAGCTATTTCTTCTTCATTCCTTAGTTGTTTTCTTTGCTAGAAAATAGAAGTGTGTCTAGTTTGCAACCTGCCCCATTGGCCTATCCTAGACCTGTCCTATTATCTTCAAATGCCTACTCCTATGATTGATGTAACATTAATCAAGTTATCTCATTGGCTTATCTATGTCAAAATGAGAAAGACTTTATATTCTTCATGTCTACCCTTCAGAACTTTATGCACCCATAAGAATCTTAAACATCAACAGCAACATTTTGAATGCACTGGAATTTATGCTAGCATGTTTTCAAATTTCTTGGAATAAACTTGATCTCCTAGCCCTTGAATAGTTGAGCGTGATTTTACAATCCATAGGTTGCCATAGATGTTATAAGAATAATGGAAAGAGTCTCTAGTTAGCCTGAAGAATTTTGAGATGCATTCACTTAAAGGCTACATTATCAGGAGCGATGGGACAGGATCTCAGCATTTATTAGTTAATTTTGTATACTGTTAGCTGTCAAATAATATGTATTGTTCACATAATTTTCAAGTATTATGAGAAACATAATGGCTGACCATGATGGTGCTCACAAGTTCCATTAAGCCACAATTAGCTTTAAATATGTTTTGTTGATTATGTTTAACTGGCTGGGTTCTCACAATCCAAAAAGCCATAAGCAATTATTTAGAAAACAATGAATCATGCAAAACCAAATCACACTGAACTACCAGTATATCTTTAAATTTCTCTATTGATTATTCAGTAAATGTATTATACACATTTAATTTTTCTTTATTAGATTTATATTCTTTTTTTTTTGTTTGTTTCAGAGCTCAAGACAGATTATGTGGAGATCTCCCTTCATTTGATCCCAACAACTCTGTGACATAAGATAGGCTAATGAGAATGGGTGTCTCAAAATCTCCCATTAAGTTTCCATGACTAAGGAGGTATCTAGAACTCCTCTGTCTTTGTCCAACACTGGAATAAAATTGTTCTAATTATGTATTGGTCTGGTTTCACTTTGATAGTGTTTTCATTTTATTCTGTTCTATTTTAAATTTATAAGATTCCAAATACAATAATGAAGTAAAGTTTGAAGTTCAATCAGTGTCTAAAAAAAAGGTATACTTTATGTTGAACATCCATGCTTTCATTTCTGTACCCATGTGCATCCTTGAATGATTATTTACAATATAGTTCTATTTACTTGTTGAGTTCATTATTGTTTATTATATAGTAAGTGTTCAGAATGACTGTTATATTTTCTTGAATAAAATTTAATTTTTAATATTTTAAACAATAACATAGTGCCCTTATTTGCATTATCAAGTTTGACTTTTACTTACAATGTGTTACTGCCTGCTTGGGACAGACATGGCTTATAAATATGAATGCACTTTAAAATATAACTAAATATTCTGTACTATATACATCCTTTGTAAACCAGAATGGAATTCATCACTACAGAGAGAATCATATAGTATTTTGAGAATGTATCATCAAAAGCTGGTATCTGCATTAAAACCATGTTTATATTTAGACTCATGTCATCCAGGAATCTGTTTTCGTTGTGACCAGCTTTAGAATTTTCAAAAAAGAGAATATTGCTGGGAAATCTATTATAATTTTTAAAAAAATTTCGTTCTATAATTTATCATCTTTCCACTTGAAAATCCTGTTTATTGTGCATTTTATTTATTTCCCATCTTCATTATTTTTATAGATAACTCAGCGGGGAATATGTTTAATATTCATTTCTCCTACTATTTTTCCCACAACAACAAACCTGTGAGAGGGTGACTGGCCCAGCTGGCTTTCATGCCTAAAGTGCGATTCATAAACTATGAAGATTCATAAGCTATAAGATTCATAAGCTAAAGTGGGATTCATAGCAGTCTAGTTTCCAGACTGATGACTTATCCATATTATCTTTTTATAAATTTGCTGCATATTAATTGAATCATGTTGAAATGAGAATAATTACTTTTAATTCATGGTAACTTCTCCCAAGCTCAGAACTGAACTGGCACCTGTTTGATCAAATGACATTAACTAATTTTAAAAGCCGAGGTCCTTTTCCACCCCACTATCTCTCCACTGTATCAAAAGAAAGCCTTTTCTTTTCTTTTTCTTTTGCACTGCTGGAGTTTGTGGTAATCCATTCTTCTGTTGGTGGGAATTCTTACCTGTCCAGACTATTAAGATCAAGCAGGCTATTCATTTTAAAGCAGTCACTGAAAACACTACAACAGCCTGGAGCTTTTCATCCCCATTAATCATTGTCAGAAAGAAGGGAGAAACAGATAGAACGCTTCTCATTTTCAGCTTTGCTCTTTTATTCTGGGTTGCTGTGCACCAAACAGGACTTACAAAGATAGATTTGTAAAACTTCCAAACAGCCTGGATCCCTGATATATTTTCATGTTGAATTCCTGGAAACTGTCTGCATGGTTTAGGGCCTTTTTTCCTTCTCCCACACTCCCACCAAGCAGTAGAATATCATGATTACAGATATGGGACAGCTCTTGCAATTACAACCTTATACTGTATGTTATCATTACAGACTAAGATACCGTTAAATGCAATATAGTGAACATAGCAGGCCACTTGGAACCAGCCTTTCTTCCATAGTGATACATTTCTTCCATTTTAAAAGTGGCAGTATATGAAATCACAATTAAATAAAAAGAGTAATATTTATTTTTAAAATTTTCAGTTTTTATAAACCAGCATTTTTCTTTACTCAGAAATTGTAATTGTCTATTTTACCGAACCTAGTACTTTCCTACCAAATGTTGTATAATGTTATGAGGTTTTTTCTCGGTGATGGTCAAAGAAATGTTAAAAAGCACACAAGTACTTCATCCCACTTTTTTTTTTTTTTAATGGCATGAAACTTAGTTATATCAACTACATTTTAAGGAACATTTGTCACTTACTCTGCACAATGGTTGTTATCTGAAACCAGCTGCCAAATAATTCTTTTGGAACAGGGGAGGAAAGAAAGAACAAATCTCTCCTCAAGTGAATTTATCTTTGCATTATTCTACTAATAGCACCTGTTTTAGTTATTGAATAATAGCAGTACACAAAAAGCTGCTTGGAGATTTGCCCATTCTGCTTTTGTTTGAGATGGTGATTTTTCAGCCTTAGAAAAGAAATCAGATACGTTTCTCTCAACATTGCCATGACTAGCTCCAGTAACATTGCTGGCTTTCTTCTTCAGAATTGCAGAAACAATCATGCCTGCAAGTTCTACAGTACATGGTGTTCATACGCAGTTGTAGGAGAGTGACTGGCGGAATAATAGAATATACTGTGTTCAGCTCCCTAAGGTTGCAGCAAATGGCCAGATTTCACACAGGAATGTTCCTAAGTGTTCATAGAAGACAGTGAAGGTGTTGATGTGTTTTAACAATAAAAGTGGTATTTATTATAATACCCGTTGGTTCCCTGAAAATAAGACCCTGTCTTATATTTTTTTGAACCCTGAAATAAGCACTTGGCCTTATTGCCATGCGCTCAAAAGCCCGATTGGGTTTATTATCAGGGGATGTCATATTTTGGGGAAAACAGGGTAGGATTGGATGCCTATCCAGCTGCTCAAGTCTCCATTTGGAGGAAGATACAAAACAAAGCACCTAAAATGAGGAAAGGTAATTCCAATAGCACTCTAATCTTAAACGAATAAAAATTAATCCTGGCATTTTAAAGAGGAAATGAGAATATGATACATTTGTTTCTTGTAAACAAGATTATATTTTTAAATTAGAGATGGGTTTGTTTGTGACTCATCAGTAATTAGGGATCACAGACTATAGATAAATAATATTATGAAGAAATCTGAGCTCAGGTTATTTATATATTTATATTTGTTTATTTACAGCCCAAGACTCAAGTCACAAAATTTAAAATTCAGAACCCCCCTTAATGCATACATATCTAGCAACAAACACACACACACATATTTAGGGAAGAAACCTTGTAAAATAAACAATTCATCAAAGACACCAAACAATTTCTATAAACTAAGGCTATAAATAAAATTTGCTACTGTCTTTAAAACATCTGAATATTGATCATTTAATAAGAATACCTCAATCTTCTGACTATGAGTGGAGTTTGTCAGATTTCAGATCTGGTATATTACTGATCACCTTGAAAGGATGTATGAAACAAACTCAACCTCTGTGTTTGAACAATACACACTGGATCTTCATATTGCTGAGCACATTGTAAGCCGCCCTGAGTCTTCGGAGAAGGGCGGCATATAAATCAAATTAAAAAAAAAAAATATGGAAGTTTGGCATACTGACCAGCTGTCACCTAAGAGGGACAGCATCTATATGGACTATGAAGACCCTTCTATGTAGGGCATACAGCATCTTAAAGAAGTAATTAGTGAATATCCAAGGGTAGAATAAATTTTGTAAGAGAGATGAGAAAATTTGGCGCTGTCTACTGAATTTATCCAGAATACTTGTGATATCTCATTTTCAAATTCCTAATTTTATGTTTGTTGAGTGTTTTCCAACATTCCACTTGTGATGCTGTATTTGATTAACTTGGTTATGGAGCATTTTTTTCCATTTAAGTGAGCAAATTACTGAATGAGAAATCTAAGCTACACAGGGTGCTATGATGCATAGTTAGCCTTGAGGGATGCTAAAAGCTAAAGAGTAAGGAAACAGTAATTAAAAGTGATTACAAGCTGACTTAGTAGTCTCAATTATGAATGCAAGTGTCCTTGACAGTCAGTGGGTTTTGGTTTTGATTATAACCTTACTTGCCATTTTAATAAACATGAGCCAGCATTCAAACTTTTAATATCCTGCTGCTTAAGTATATCCAAATAGCAATTAGGTTTTTTAAAACAACCGTTAACAAAATTAATTTGTGGAGCTCTGTCTTCACTTTAAAATTTGCAGCATTTTACCCAGCATGGATACGAGTGGTACGTAAGTGCATTTTAACTAAATGTTCCCGTATGTGTCAAAACTCACAGCCTTTTCATGTCATGTTAACTGACATTCAAAGTAAGTAGAAGAGAAAATCCCAGAAATATATTTTATTTTTAGCTATGCCAGTCAAGGATACAGTGGTACATACAGCTCTTCGAGGAAGCGGAGTTTATGCAGAGAGTTCAAGGGCAGTTTAGAGATATTATTCATACTGAGGTCACTGTAAAGGAAAAATAAAAAAGACTGAAATATAACTGCAATGTTTAGCTGATAAATAATACATCTTAAGGAATATCTAAATAGCAACAAATACAAATATTTCTTGTCCCAGAGCTGATAGTATTAAGTTGTTTAACCTAGACAAACTCAATTATTTCTCTGGAATATCATGCAAGCAAGTAGCTTAAACATCACCATTGTCCTGGGGATGTCCAAGGAGCTCCTTTCATGTCTCTGGTATATGCCCACCAAAGTGGTACCTTTTTATCTATTTGCATTTGCATGCTTTTGAACTGCTAAATTGGCAGGAGCTGGGACAAATTGACGGGCTCTTCTCTCTGGTTTTGAACTGCTGAGCTGTCAACCTCTCAATGGTCTTCTGACTTAGCATTCTAACCAGGTGAGCCATCGCAGCCCCCTATCTTAAGTGATTAACATGGAAGACTGATTTTTTCATCATATTAAAGTATTTATTATATCTACATTTTTAAGATAAAGTGAATTTCACTTTCACTGTACTATAACTACATATTTTGCTTTACCTTACTATTCCAATCTGTAAAAATAGTTCTTTGAGATATACCACACTTGCCATAGTGGTGAATATCTGTAGCTCAGGTGTAGGATGAGGGTGAAAGTTCATTCTTCAAACTACAGAGGATTTCTGTAAACCATAAACCCTAAACTCCACTGAAGATGTTACCTAGCCTGGTAACAAAACATTTGGAAACAACCCACAAGCTCAGAGAATAAACCTTCATCTTTATATATCACACTTCCTGGTGGGATGTCATAGAAAACCAATAACTTTTTCTAGGTCTCTCAGCTTTACTTGTATGTAATATCTTGTTTAATTGGTTTATTAAGAAATTACTGGTTTTCCTACTGTATTTTAAGAAACAATATAACATAATGATTAAGTAGATTTTGCCCATTTAGGGCAAAAATCCATTGCCACGCAACTGAAGAAGCTTCTTGGATGAAAAGCAAAACATTTTCATAGAAACAAGAAAGTCCAGTTGGCTTTTTAAAAAAGCCCTTTGGGACAATCATGACCTGGATGATTGAGAATCTCCATAGACACGATGGGCACACAATGTTGCAAAATTTACCCTGTACCCTCAATGATACCATAAGCATTGATTGAGGGTCCTAGCCCAACAAAGGCTCAATCGATCCACCATTTTATCTCACATGTTCTCTCCTTGATAAAGTAAATGTTAAATTTATTGGTACAAATAAGCAATATCTTCAGCAAGGTTTGTTACTGCAGCCCCTATTTTAATCCTTTTATAACCATCATTGCATCATCTTAATAATCAGAGCATCTCTGGAGTGATGCTTTATGGGAATAATAGTTATATTGTGAGCTGATGAAAACAATGGATGTACTAAGCTTTTTTCCCCCTTCTTTTCCTTTCTTTCTTTTCTTTCTTTCTTTTTTGATGCCACTGATGAAGAAAAGAAATCCAGGTAGAATTTGGCAGCTGGATTAATTATTTACATAACAATTATCTGCTTGTTTCTTATGTGGCTTATCCCTGTACCAATTTAGAGGCACTTCAGATGGTTTACAGAAATTAAAACATACTAAAAACAATAAGAATTAACAATAATAAATTACAATGCAATGCAATATAATTACAGTCATGATATGGCAGTAGTTATGGTTCATCCAGTGTTGGTAGTGAAATATTCCAATCAGTAAACAATGTTCTATGCCTTAATTAAATCTTGTCTAGACTGTAGTGTGCTGTCCATAAAAGCATCTGGATTTTCCTTTCATACAAAATGCAACAGCTGGGCTACAGACTGGTTTAGGATGTCATGATCATATGATACTGAAAGAACTATATGATTACTGATTATTTTCTAAGCTTATTTCAAGATTATGGTAATTTTTAGAGCTCTTGTTGATATGAGGATGGTAACCTCTGCTGCTAACAACATACACACAAAAGATATTTTGGTTTACAGCCCTGTGTCAAAATGTCGAAAGATACCATTTTAATTTCACACTTGAAAAATTATTTTAACATTTACATACATTATTACCATGTTGTTTATTGAATGAGTGTTTTCTAATTCTGTATGCAAGCTTAGAATAAATATATCAGATATTTTAAATATAATATATACTTTTTAAAAAACTCCAGAGTTTATTATAGTATTTTTGGGCTGGGAAGGAAATAATCTAAAATGTACTGCTTAACAAGAACTTTCATGTTACAGAAAAATAAAATAGACACCTAAGAGAAAGTTGAATATAATGGAGTATCCTTGAAAAGGACATTATTGGTTAACTACTATATAAAATGAGGTAATTGTTCCAAAGGTAACGCTGAATCAATTAGGAAAATATTAGGACACTTTATTTTTGGTGATGAAATTCTAAAGATTTTGTATTTGGGCTTCAAGGCTTGGCAGGTTTGAATTTTATTAGTCATGATAACCTATTAGATTGAAAATTACATTCTGGAATTTCATATATCAGTATTGTGTCCTCCCTATATTTCATCATTAGAAGAAAGCACTAGCAACATTAATTGGATGCAACATTGGGATAACATTGTTACCTACTGACAATAGGAGTTCTATTGCTCATTGTCATCAGAATTAAATACAATCTGTGGCTGCTGGATCAGTACATAAAATACACTGTTGAATGAGGGCAATAAACATAGAATAAATCTAGACAAAATGGAAGTCCTTGTGATGTGTAGTTTTCAGAAGTAGGCAGCCTATTCTAAAAAATGCTGCATGTTTCCCAAAATATGAGATTCATAGCTCAAAGCCAAGGTGGCTTCAAAAGCACAAACTGCCTTTGTTCAGGTACTAAATACATTGGCTATGTATTAACTAACCAAACTAATGCATTGACTATGGCACCTCCTGGATTGTTATGCCTAATATGACCAGGAATAGAAAGAAATCAAAGGACTTAATATAGTGAGCAATAAATTATCAAGAAAACAAAGGAAAATTCAGGTGTCAGACTTACATTGTATTTGGTCAATAGCCTGTGGGGCATAAATCATGAATGGTCACACAATTTAGTTTTGAGAAAAATATGCAAACTAATTTTACATTCAGTGTTTCTAATTTTTCAAATAAAGACTATATGATTGTTTAGTTGTAGTCCCACAGGTTGTAGGGTCTGTCACAAGTGTATGTGCTGGCATTGTTTCTGCAGGCAATTTAAGAACCCTTCATGTCACTACTCAACCCTTCCAAAAACTATTTTTATACCTCTTTCCCTTTTCCACAAAGGTTACTTATAAGTAATCCTCATTTTACGACCACAATTGAGCCCAAAATTTATGTTGCTAAGTAAGACTGTAGTTATGTGAAATTTGCCTCATTTTACAATCTTTCTTGTCATAGTTGTTAAGTGAATCACTGCAGTTATTTAAGTTAGTAACATGATTGTTAAGTGAATCTGGCTTACCCATTGACTTTGCTTGTCAAGAAGTCACAAAAAGTGATCACTGGGACATTGCAATCATCAGTTACCTAGCATCTGAATTTTGATCAAATGATCATGGGGATGCTGCAATGATCATAGGTATGAAAAACTGTCCTAAGTCACTTTTTTAGTGCCATTGTAACTTTGAACTGTCACTAAATGAACTGTTGTAAGTAGAGGACTACCTGTAATTATACATAATCTAAGCAGTTTTCAGCTATAAACTGATAGATTCAAAGTCTAGTTTATAACCAGGCATAAAAAAAGTCATAGTGCCAAGGCACTGTTGCTGTACAGCTGAAAACTAGGAAAAATTTTTTAGTAAACCAGAAACATAGAAGTTCAAAGAAAGAAGAAAAGAAATTCAAAGAAGGGTTAGATTTAGCCTCATTTTCCATTCAAATGCTCATTATTCTATGAACTAAAAAAATGCAACAATTCCAGTTTTAAGGACAGCTTTTGTGAAAGTATAAAAGAACATTGCCCAAACAATTTCAGGATGTTAACTTCTGAAAAACGTTATACACTGATTATCCATAAAGAGAAATAAATGAAGTTTTCCAAAAAGGCAAAGGAACATGTAGTCAGTGACTTAAACCTCAGATACAGAATAGAGAATAGGACAATATTAAAAAAAAGTTTTACTTTATTAACTAGATCTAGTAGAAAAAGGTATGAAACAAGAATGTATATATTGTTGCTACTTTACATAGCAAATATATTATATGAAAAGCAGAAATGGAAGAAAAGACAGGCAGAATTAAATTGGAAAGTCAAACACTAACAATTTAAGATATTACCATAAAATCATTTTATGCCTGGAAATAAAAAAATGATTTTAAATAATTCAATATAAAAGTAGAAAGAAAAAGTGAAAAATCTAGATTAATGTTTAAGATTTACAAAACAATTTACAGTTGATGGCTAAGAATGAAGGTAGTAGCAATATTTTCTTGGCTATTGAACAGATTAAGATAGTGAGTTCCAGGATAAATAAAGAAGAGAGTAACTTACCAAAGGACCGAATGTGGTGTTAATGTGCTCTACTGGAAGCATAGAGATTCTAGCCAGTCCCTCTCTTCAAAACTCCCTAGGACTGTAATGGCGAACCTATGGCACGGGTGCCACAGGTGGCACGCAGAGCCATATCTCTGGGCACATGAGCGTTGCCCTAGCTCAGCTCCAGCACGCATGTGCGCACCAGCCAGCTGATTTTTGGGCCTTCCAGGCCCACTGGAAGTCAGGAAATGGGCCGTTTCCGGCTTCCGGAGGGCCTCTGGGGGGGGGAGGCTGTTTTCACCCTCCACCCTCCTCTGGAGTCTTGGGAGGGCAAATAATGGGCCTATTGGGCCCACTGTTAACCTTTTTGCCATCATGTGCCAAAAGCGGGGGTAGCGCAGGGGGTCGCGTGCACATGCACAGGGGTGCAGGATGTCATTGAATTATGGGTGTGGGCCCACGCGCACGCAACTCCCCCATGCTCCCCACGTGTTTGGCACGTGATGGCAAAAAGGTTAGCCATCACTGCCCTAGGA